GTTTGTGAAATACTACATATCATATTACTAAGGGCAAATAAATATACCTTGACATTTAGAAAGAAGTAACTAAGACCAAGCAGTTCAAAATTTAAAAGGATAATTGTAGAGATTTAAAATTTGATTCAAAACTTTCAACTCTACAAAAATGTAACAAGGAAAATCTAGCTTAGCTGCTTTTCATATGATAGACCAGGAAAAAAACTACAATCTCTATTTGAGCCAAGTTATACGAAGCAGCTATGTTCATTCACTCTCTCTCCATCTGAAGTCTTCCATGACGTACCCATGACTCTATTTCTAACCTTACTTTTAGAGGTTAAAAATCAAATATCCAATTACATGCTTAAAAAAAAAAACCTGAAAATTACATCCTCATAAAATACTTCAATATAAATATCTCAATAATTATATACCTTTGAAGGTAAATTACATGTATGCAATCACTTTGGAGCCAAGTCAGAATAATCTATCTCTATCAATAATATTTACAGTTCATCATGTCTTTTAAATTCCTACTCAGGACTCAAACCATTGTTTACCTCCATTGCCACAGATTTGGGAGAAGTAAATCTCACAGTATTAAAAAGCTACAACCATTATTCTGAAAAACTCCCTGATACTTCACGTTTCAACATTTAAGAAACATAGATTAGACTAGGCCATTTCTAAGTTGTATATATGAATTCCATTTCCATGGTATTCTAATACAAAACTTCAAGAGTTCCAGTAAGTCATCAACTAAACAATATCTTCTCAGTCTGATGCACTCAGGCAATCGATCGTATGCTCCTGCTTAGCCTAGCCCTTTGCCTTTTCAAAATAATGACCAGCAAACACTGGCTGAATGCGCACTATGTGTCAGAAAATGGTCTAAGTATGAAGAAGCCATAATGCACATTAATTTGATGTGATTAAATTCAGGGGAATGAGGATGTTGAAGATGGAGGAGGGGAATAAATTGAGAAGACATAAACTTGGTACTGGGATGTGAAGAAAATGGAATGCATCCTGAGGATTTGGGATTATTCCTCTAAGCAATGAAAAATCATAAAAACTTTTCAATGGGTGACTGTCATGATCATATGCAAATTTTGGGAAGAACTCTGGTAGGAGTGTGGTTGGTGGACAAAAGAGGGAGGGACATAAAAATAATTAGGGGTTTATAAAAAATCAAAAAACATACGTTGTGGTTCTAAAATTATGGTAATAAATACAGAGGTAAAGAGAAGTTTGGGATAAATGTAAAGATGTAATCAACAGGACCTTCATGAAGTTTAGTTAAGGATAGGACAGAGTAAAGACATAGCATAAAATATTAATTAAGTAAATATTAATTATTGACAGCCTATTAGGATTCTAGCATAGATTGATATCAGCCATCAACCAGGACAGAAATAGTAGGAGAGGAAGGCTAGGGATAAAGACTGAGCTCATTAAAGTGTTGGTTATCTTCAGGTCATCAAATCAAAAATATGTGAATGTCAGTTGGAGATACTGAACTCTGGAGAATTCAAGCTAAAGATTAAGAGTTCTTCCGTGTGGAGGTTAAAGGTTCTCTACACCTTGTAGGGAGGCAGCTTTTTCTACCTCTTAGCATGGTGCCTAGCATATAGTTGATTTTCAAAAAATGTTTGATGGCTGGCTGGCTGAATGCTTTATCTCAAATTCAGGGAGAAATTTGTGTTGGCTTTTACAAGTTATATCAGTTTCTAAAAATAAAAGTGGGGGATGAAGCTCATGAGACAAGAAAGTCATTATATTTTACATTTAAGAAGTTAATGTCACAGAGGGTCACAAAAAGAATGAGAAGGAAAGCTGACAGAGGAAATGGACTGGATGAAGGAAAATAGAAGATGGCGGAAATTGCCTTGGGAAAGAATAAGAACACTAAACACTTCCCTCAAAGACTGGAAGGTAGTTCTCAAGGTCAGATTCCTAAAAGTAGAAATGCTGAACTAAACAGATCCTTAAGTCTTATATTTGGCCTTAGTCTTACCCCACTGTAGTTGTTCTTTCATATCTTCAAAGATTCATTTTCCCCAGGGTCTACTCATAAAACTCACCAGCTTATATTCAATAGTTTTATGCCTAGTGTATTCAAATAGATCACTTGGGCATTTTAAGAATTTGCACAAACTAACCTCATCTCTGCCCAGAAAATAGAATATAAGAACATGAAATTTGAATACTATGATGAGTTGTGCTAAATTGATAAAACAACATCCAAGTAAGTCTATGACAAGGATTACATGTTGTTTTCAAATATTTCCAAAACATTAATCATAGTCAAACCCTAGTGTGTACAACCTGATACACTTAGAGATATTTTCATATAAATAAATCTCAGAATTTAAAAAATGGAATGAGAAATAGACTAGGTTTTGGCCGACTATGGTGGCTCTTGCCTGTAATCGCAGCACTTTGATCCACCAACACGGGCTGGTCACTTGAGGTCAGGAGTTTGAGATCAGCCTGGCCAACGTGGCGAAACCCCATCTCTGCTAAAAATACAAAAATTAACTAGGTATGGTGGTACGAGTCTGTAGTCCCAGCTATTAAGGAAGCTAAGTCACCATGAGAATTACTTGAACCCAAGAGGTGAAGGTTATAGTGGGTCGAGATTACACCACTGCACTCCCGCCTGGGCAACAGAGCAAGACTCCCTCTCCAAAAAAAAAAAAAAAATAGACTAGGTATCAAGCAAATTAGTATCAGGAAGAGAAAGATATCAAACAAGTAAATTCCACTTTTGGCTTTTTGAGAGAACCAATGAAACATGCAAACTTTGGGCATACATTATCAGTGAAAATGGGAGGAAAACACATAAAAATTAGAAATGATGAGGAGTCTATCAAACCTCTTCAACAATAATTTTGCAAACTACATCACTATAATTTATAAATATGTGGCAGTAAAATGAGAAACTTAATAAAATGAACAATATTTTTAAAATGTCAGATTGGAAATTAACTCAATAATAAGTAGAATTCCTACAAAATTCAAAGAACAATTAATGAAAATATTTTTCCTAATTTTACCTCCAAAACAGATTCTGTGGTCTGATTATTCTACTAGTAAGTAATAGCTCCTGCCACATAATTATAATTTTTTTATTTTGTTTGTGATTTTTTTCATATATATAACTCCACAAAAAAAGTTTTGTAAAGTTCAGTGTGAATATAACATCCTTAATAGTACCAAATAGATTTCAAGCAATAAAAAATACTACATATCATTCTTACTTTGAAACATTCTTTAAAATTCTCAAGTAAGCAAAAAAGAATTGAGCTAAGGAATGTAATAAAAGTAAGCTTCCAGCTATGCAAGAGTAACATAATATTAGCAAATCAGCTGACTGAGAGGGGAGAACCAAATCATCTTCTCAACAGATTTTAAAACATTAATTTATATGTAATCAAGATTTATAGAACATCAACAGAAATTTCTGATAATCAAATATAGCTAATTAAGAATAGAAGTCAACAAAATATTTAAATTACATTCATGAAAGACATTACTAATAAAATCAGAAAGAATAAAGAGTTACAGTTATTTCATGTTACAATGAAAGACACAGCCAAGGCAATAAGTAGTGAACTCAAAAAATGTATGATGATAAAAAGGAAAAAAATTAAAGTATCTAAAATTGTTATTAGTTTTAGAAAATATTACTTTCTAGTTGGAACCACAAAAAAAAAACTAACTGGAGAATAATTACCATTAATAAAGAGCTAAATGAGATATCAGTATACAAAATATGTACACCTTAAGAATTCCAACAATCAATTCAAATACAATAGATAATTTTGCAATATCTAACACATATGAGCCAGGCATTGTTCTATGCACCTAACGTGTATCAATGCATTTCAACCTCAGGACAACCCCAACAGCTAGGTATGTATCATTAGCTACATTTTGCAGATGAGAAGGGAAAGCCCAGAGAGAGTAAAGGATTTGCCCAAGTTCACACAGAGAACAAGTGGTGGAGCAGGCATTTATATCCCAGCAGCAGAGGAAGTGGGGCTAGAGGAGGCCAATTTGCTTTTTATATCATCAACACACTTGTTTCTTGAATTTTTACAGTAGGTTGCGTGTTCATATACTGAAAACATTCACTAATTCATAAAGAGGGTTGATACGTTACATTAGGTAATGGGAATATGGATTTTTAAAATTTGTATTTATGTGCTTCTAATTTATCTATACATTATGAACATCGTATCATTTGTAATAGGAAAATATATGATAAATGCAATTTTGAAGCACACTGCTTGGGTCATAAGCTCAGATGGAGAACGGTCTGCATTTTAGACATCTCTCTTATATTTAACAGCATTAAAATAATTTGCACCATCTGACTGACAGCATGATTGTCACAAACTTAACGATAAAGTTTTCAGGGAGACAGTTCCTGCCACATAATTATAAAGAAGAAGAATGACTTCATGTATCCTACCTCAAATCTTGAGAAAACAAACACTTAATGAAGATGATCCCCAAAGTGACGTTAGACCAGCTTATCAAAATGTCAAATGTATGAGGGTACTGAACTGGATATCATTTCAAAACATAGTTAATTACGTACCTATGGAAGGCTATAGGTTATATGTTTTATAATTTTACTATAAGAAAATAAATACATAATTATCTGAAAAGATAGTTTTATGTGTATATTTTGATATACAATTCTTCCTATATATTGTTTACAAAATATTTGCCAGTAGCCTATTTTCAGACATTTTACCTTTTACCAGATTTTAGAGTAAAGTGATTAAATAGTTCCCAGGTTTACATGCCATAGATTTACATTTCAGGATTACAATTTTTAAATAAAATTTAAAAAAACTCTTTAGTGATTCTAGTCTTTAATGATTCTAATTTTTCTTATAAAAAAATTAAAACATGAGTGAAGAACAGTAAATCAAATTTCTCATTTCAATACTCAGAAAGTTATACTAATTATGAATATAAAATATATAAGTTGTTCTGCTTACCATTTGAATAGAATGCTTGGAATTCTCTTTGGAAAATTATCCCAGGAAAATTCAGGAAGATCTGAAAAATAAGAATGATTGAGGAAGATTAATTCAATCTATTATATATATATATATATATATACACACATATACTAATGTATTAATTTAATGTAACCTTTGACTCATACTCATTCCAGACTCTCACAAGGATACATTCAGACTTATAATTTTCATTTAATATGAATATTATGTAAACACAGGAAATAGCATGTGTCTTTTATTTATTCACAGACTCTTTTTAGTGTTAGGAGCTACCTTTCCAGCCTGACTGCCCTCAACCTCAACTCTGGCCTTCAGGAATCACACTGTGCAATTAAAAGAAATAATTCGCTCTACACTCTGACTTGATGCTTCTCTTAAACAAAATCAAGTGACTGTAACACTATGCTCATGATTTTTTTTTTAAATCATACTTTAATTTCTGGGATACATGTGCAGAACGTGCAGGTTTTTTACATAGGCATAATAAATGTGCCATGGTGCTTTGCTGCACCCATCAACCCCTTATCTACATTAGGTATTTCTAATAATGCTGTCCCTCCCCTAGTACCCCATGCTCCAACAGATCCCAGTGTGTGATATTCCCCTCCTTGTATCCATGTGTTCTTATTGTCCAACTCCCACTAATGAGTGAGAACATGTGGTGTTTTGTTCTCTGTTCCTGTGTTAGCTTGCTAAGAATGATAGTTTCCAGCTTCATCCATGTCCCTGCAAAGGACATGAACTCATCCTTTCCTATGGCTGCATCACATTCCATGGCGTATATGTGTCACATTTCCTTTATCCATTCTATCATTGATGGGCATTTGGGTTGGTTCCAAGTCTTTGTTATTGTGAACAGTGCTGCAATAAGCATATGTGTGCATGTGTCTTTAGAGCAGAACAATGATTTATAATATTCTGGGTATGTATACAGTAATGGGATTGCTGGGTCAAGTGGTATTTCTGGTTCTAGATCCTTGAGGAATCACCACACTGTCTTCCACAATGGTTGAACTAATTTACACTCCCACCAACAGTGTAAAAATGTTCCTATTTCTCCACATTCTCTCTAGCATCTGTTGTTTCCTGACTTTCAGTGATTGCCATCCTAACTGGCATAAGATGGTATCTCACTGTGGTTTTGATTTACATTTCTCTAATCACCAATGATGATGAGCTTGTTTTCATATGTTTGTTGGCCACATAAATGTCTTCTTTTGAGAAGTGTCTGTTCTGTTCATATCCTTCACCCACTTTTTGATGGGATTGTTTTTTTCTTGTAAATTTGTTAAGTTCTTTGTAGATTCTAGATATTAGCCCTTTGTCAGATGGATAGATTGCAAAAATTTTCTCCTATTCTGTAGGTTGCCTGTTCACTCTGATGATAGTTTCTTTTGTTGTGCAGAAGCTCTTTAGTTTAATTAGATCTCGTCTGTCAATTTTGGCTTTTGTTGCCATTGTTTTTGGTGGTTTAGTCATAAAGTCTTTGCCCATGCCTATGTCCTAAAGGGTATTGCCTAGGTTTTCTTCTAGGGTTTTTAGGGCTTACATTTAAGTCTTTAATTCACTTTGAGTTAATTTTTGTGTAATGTGTAAGGCAAGGGTCCAGTTTCAGTTTTCTGCATATGGCTAGCCAGTTTTCTCAACATCATTTACTAAATAGGGAATCCTTTTTGCTTATTTTTGTCAAGTTTGTCAAAGATCCAATGGCTATAGATGTGTGGTGTTATTTCTGAGACCTCTGTTCTATTCCATTGGTCTATACATCTGTTTTGGTACCAACACCATGTTGTTTTAGTTACTGTAGCCTTGTAATATAGTTTGAAGTCCAGTAGTGTGATGCCTCAAGCTTTGTTCTTTTGCTAAGGATTGTCTTGGGTATATGGGCTCTATTTTGGTTCCATATGACATTTAAAGTAGATTTTTTTCTAATTCTGTCAAGAAAGGCAATGGTATTTTGATAGGGATAGCACTGAATCTATAAATTACTTTGGGCAATGTGGTCATTTTCACTATATTGATTCTTCCTATCTATGAGCATGAAATGTTTTTCCATTTTTTGATGTCCTCTCTTATTTTCTTGAGCATTGGTTTCCAGGTCTCCATGAAGAGATCCTTCACATCCCTTGTAAGTTGTATTCCTAGGTATTTTATTCTCTTTGTATCAATTGTGAATGGGAGTTGACTCATTATTTGGCTCTCTGTTTGTCTATTATTGGTGTGTAGGAATGCTTATGATTTTTGCACATTGATTTTCCATCTGAGAAGTGCTAAAATTGCTTATCAGCTTAAGGAGATATTGGCTGAGATCATGAGGTTTTCTAAATATACAATCATGTCATCTGCAAACAGAGACAATTTGACTTCCTCTCTTTCTATTTGAATACACTTTATTTCTTTCTCTTCCCTAATTGTCCTGGCCGGAACTTCCAATACTATGTTGAATAGGAGTGGTAAGAGAGGGCATCCTTATCTTGTGCTGGTTTTCAAAGGGAATGCTTCCAGCTTTTGCCCATTCAGTATGATATTGGCTGTGGCTTTGTCATAAATAGCTCTTATTATTTTGAAATACTTTGTATCAATACCTCTTTCATTGAGTGTTTTTAGCATGAAGTGGTGCTAAATTTTACCAAAGGCCTTTCCTGCATCTATTGAGATAATCATTTGCTTTTGGTCATTGGTTTTGTTTATGTGATGATGTTTATTGATTTGCATATGTTGAACCAGCCTTGCATCCCAGGGATGAAATCGACTTTATCATGTTGGATAAGCTTTTTGATGTGCTGCTGGATTCTGTTTGCCAGTATTTTATTGAGGATTCTCACATGGATGTTCATCATGGATATTGGCCTGACATTTTCTTTTTGTGTGTGTGTCTCTGCCAGGTTTTGGTATCAGGATGATGCTGGCCTCATAAAATGAGTTAGGGAGAAGTCCCTCTTTTTCTATTGTTTGGAATAGTTTCATAAGGAATGGTACCAGTTCCTCTTTGTATCTCTGGTAGAATTTGGCTGTGAACCCTTCTAGTCCTGGACATTTTTGGTTGGTAGGCTATTAATTGCTGCCTCAACTTCAGACCTTTCTGGTATATCAATCAAACATAGATTTGGTCTTTTCGCATTGTCCCATATTTCTTGGAGGCTTTGCTCATTCCTTTACATTTTATTTTTTTCTCTAATCTTGTCTTTGTGCTTTATTTCATTAAATTAGTCTTCAATCTCTGATATCCTTACTTCCGCTGAATCAATTTGGCTATTGATACTTGTATGCTTCATGAAGTTCTCGTGTTGTGTTTTTGAGCTCCATGAGGTCATTTATTTTCTTCTCTAAACTGGTTATTCTAATTAGCAATTCCTCTAACCTTTTTTCAAGGTTCTTAGCTGTCTTGCACTGGGTTAGAGCATGCTCCTTTAGCTCAGAGGAGTTTGTTATTACCCTCCTTGTGAAGCCTACTTCTGTCAATTAGTCAAACTCATTCTCCATCCAGTTTTGTTCCCTTGCCGGCAAGGAGTTATGATCCTTTGGAGGGGAAAAGGCATTCTGGTTTTCGGAATTTCTATCATTTTTGTTCTGTTTTTTTCTCATCTTCATGGATTTCTCTACTTTTGGTCTTTGATGTTGGTGGTCTTCAGTTGGGACTTGAGCATGGACATCCTTTTGTTGATGTTGATGCTAATTTTGTTAATTTTCCTTCTACTTAGCCACCATAGGTCTGCTGAAGTTTGCCAAAGGTCCACTCCAGACCCTATTTGCCTGGGTATCACCAGTGGAGACTGCAGAACAGCAAAGACTGCTGCCTGTTTCTTCCTGTAGAAGTTTCACCCCAGGGGGGTCACCCACCAAATGTCTGCTGCAGCTCTCCCACATGAGGTGTCTGTCGACCCCTGCTGGGAGGTGTCTCCCAGTCAGGAGGCACTGGGGTCAGGAACCCACTTGAAGAGGCAGTGTCTCCCTTAGCAGAACTTGAGCACTGTGCTGGGAGATCTGCTGCTCTCCTCAGAGCTGGCAGGCAGGAAAGGTTAAGTCTGCTGAAGCTGCACACACAGCTATCCCTTTCCACAGGTTCTCTGTGGAAATGGGAGTTTTATCTATAAGCCCTTGACTGGGGCTTCTGCCTTTCCTTCTAAGATGCCCTGTGCAGAGAGGAGGAATCTAGAGAGGCAGTCTGGCTTTGCCAAGCTGTGGTGGCTCTACCAGTTTGAACATTTTGGCAGCTTTGCTTACACTGTAAGGGGAAAACCGCCTACAAGAGTTTCAGTAATGGTACACACCCCTCCCCCCACCAAACTCAAAAATCCCAGGTCAACTTCAGACTGCTGTGCTGGCAGTGAGAATTTCAAGCCAGTGGATCTTAGCTTGCTAGGCTGTATGGGAGTGGGATTCGCTAAGCTAGACCACTTTGGCTCCCTAGCTTCAGCCCCCTTTCCAGGGGAGAGAACGATTCTGTCTCACTGGCATTCCAGGTGCCCATGGGGTACAAAGGAAAAAAAAAAAAAAACTCCTGCCGCTAGCTTGGTGTCTGCCCAAACAGCCACCCAGTTTTGTGCTTGGAATCCAGGTCCCTGGTGGTGTAGGCGCCCGAGGGAATCTCCTGGTCTGCCAGTTGTGAAGACTGTGGGAAAAGCATAGTATCTGGGCCGGGATGCATTGTTCCTCACGGCACAGTCCCTCACAGCTTCTCTTGGCTAGGGGAGGGAGTTTCCCAGCTCCTTGCACTTCCTGGGTGAGGTGACACCCCACCCTGCTTCATCTGGCCCTCCGTTGGCTGCCTCCACTATCTAACCAGTCCTAGTGAGATGAGCCAGACACCTCAGTTGGAAATGCAGAAATCACCTGCCTTCTGCATTGGTCTCGCTGAGAGCTGCAGACCAGAGCTCTTCCTATTTGTCCATCTTGCATGCAACCTCATAAAAACCTCATAATTTTTAATGGTACTTCACAAACTTTCTGTGGGAGAAAATGACACTATAATCTTCAAGTGTGATCAGAGGAAATCTATATCCTGAACTTTTTGAGTCTATATACTAGGTAAGCTAA